AAAAAAAAAAAAAAAGAGTCCTGAGTTTGATTCCTAGCACCCACACAAAAGGCCAGGCACAATGGCGTACGTCAGCAACCCCAGCCATGCGAGGTAAAGACAGGGTAAGGGGATCCCAGAGCTCACCAGCTGGCCAGTGTAACTTAATCAGCAAGGCCTGGCTCCCAGTGGGAGACCCTGCTTCAAAACACATGTAGACAGTTCCTAAGGAACAATATCTCAGCTTGACCTCTGGCCCCCACATATGCATGCACACGCATATATGTACATACACATACACATGAACACACACACATACACAAAAAAAAACATGAGTCAGTCTGCTAAAGGTGCCAGAGGGAGGGGATGTGTTTCTCAAAGACAAGAAGTACTAAACCTGTGAGGTGGGAATGTTCACTCTTCCTGCTTCCTGTTCCCTGCTGGTCAAAACCACCCTCCAAAGACATTTTCAGGATCCTGTTTAGATGGGCAAACATTTCCACCTGATAACCAAAGGTCATCTAGCCCCATAACCTCCCCGAAGGAAATTCCTAGTATCGCCCCCACTGATGAGGAATCACTTCCTTGGAGAAGTGCTACACACACACACACACACACACACACACACACACACGCACGCACGCACGCACGCACGCATGCACTCATGCATGCACACGCACACACAGTGCATCAATCATCTCTTTCTACAATATGGCAATGCTCCAGCATCTATGGGCAGCTGTCAGGGATCCCAAGCCTTCTGTCCAGTTACCCTTGCCAACTGGATGTCGTCTAGAGTCATCTAAGAGGAAAGCATAAATCAGGTTGGCTCATTGGCATACCTGTGGGGAGTTGTCTTGACTGTGAACTGGTGTAGGAGGGCCAGCCCACAGTGGGTGACATCATCTCTGGACAGGTGGTCCTGGGCTGTATACTAAAGCTAGCTAACCATGAGCCTGTGAGTGAGCCAGCAAGCTGAGACCCTCTATGGTTTCTGCTCCCGGTTCCTGTCCTGGTTCCCCTCCATGGTGAACTGTGACCTACAAGTGTAAGGCAAATAAATCCTTTCTCCACCGAAGTTGCTCTTTGTCAGTATTTTATTCCAGCAATAAAAAGAATGCTGGAACACCTTCCCCTTTCCAAGTAAGAAAGATAACGCTGACTTGCTTTTTCATAAAGCCCCAATTTCCAGCCATCATGTGTCCTACACATGTGTAATTTGTCTATTATGTTACTATGCTAAAAGCCTATATCTGTGCCCAGTGATCCAAAACACCAGTCAAAAAGTGACAGGTCATGGCTTTCTTAGGTTGAGGTGAAGACACAGCGTACTGAACATTCTTACACGTGATGCCCAACTCTTCATCTACTGACTGTCTGTGAACTATTGCATACTTTGCTTCCCTCTGCGTCTACAGGATACAGGCCCAGCTCACATGATGGCTACTTGGAGACACAAATAATACTTGTTTGTTGTTTGTTTGTATGGAGGGTTGGGTACTATGGTCAGGGAAGACTTCTCCAAAGAGGCAACATCTTGTCTGAGACCAGAAGCACAGAAAAGAAGCTGAACAAGGGGATGATGGTGTGTAGGACACTCAAGGATGCCTAGCTGAGCAGGACTGGGTCTTTAGTTTGGGAAAGAGTCTGGAATATTCAGAAGCTGAGGCAGGATGAGCAGAGAGGAAGAACCACAATGGCAAGATAGAGGCCCATAGATATGGCCAGCTGCGAAAGGAACCCAGAACCTACTCTATGCACAATAGGAAGCTATTGGCGCCCTTGAAATAGGTAATGGTATGACATCACCAGATCCAAAGGAACATCTCCGTAAGTCCAGCCTGTTAGCCAGAGAGCCCTACCTTTTCCCCAAGACATACATGGCAGTCATGTCTGCTCCATGACTTTATACAAACTAAGAGAAGACATGACTGTAAAGAGGTGAACAACAGACGAGAGAGAGAGAGAGAGAGAGA